CGAAAAGTAAGGATATATACGGACCGGGCCAAAGCGATAGCACAGACGCGAGGGTTTCCTAATGGCAAGTATTATCCTTACCATAGCCATGCAGAGGCCGTTGAAGCAGTTCATCGATGGCACATGCACGAGCTTGGGTCCACGGCAAACTCTCAAGTCGAAGCAGTAGACGTTAATCAACCAGTTCAACCTCAACAACAACGTATCAGGTATAACGACTTGGTGGGTGCAAGGACTTGATTGTGGAAGAGTGCAGACGACTCGGGGTGACCATTCCTAGAGCACGGCATCTTGAAATGTAAGAGTCGAATGTCGCAGTTATGGAATCTGTCATTGTCCAACTTAAACATGAGATCCGTCAATTAAATGTCAGATGGCGTAAGGTGAAGAAACTAACAAAAGCGATGAACACATGTGAGGATCCGGATGCAGAGGTTGAAAACATAATGATTGACCCGGAGCTAAAATCGGATTCCGATTTGTCAGATTTTTCTGACTCCGGAGACGATGACTTTGAAATTCCACCGCCAAGGAGTCGTACATCCAAAAGAAACTGAAATGTTGTTGGGGTTGTTGGGAATTATGATGTATTAAGCAAACTACTATATGTCTGTAGTTATAATTTCAGACGGATCTGTATATGTTGCAAATGTATGTTGGTTACCTTCAAGGGATTTGGCCTGGAATTATGTTGGGATACTTACTACGAATTATATGTATTAAAGTACGTATTTATTGGGATGTAATGCATAATATATATTCTGAGGCTGATTTATATAGCTGCCTTCTTGGTCTCATATCATAAATATATAGTCTTAATTATATATCAATTAATAATTTCAATCTAAATTTGAAATACATAATTTCACAGATACTGATATTCATTGATATGAATTATAGAAGTTTGATAATGAACTTGTATTATTGCCTTTAATTTACCAAACACAAAAAAAAAAATAATGTAAGGATATATATTGTTTATGAATTATATATATTGCTTATCATAGTTCATAGTAATTAATAGTCCAAATAAAGAGCCGGACCTAATTTCTGTCAATCCACAAAAGATGACCTAATTAGTAGTCATCCTAATTCATACTTCAATAAATTGTCAAATGTCCTTCTCAACTGGTGTACCCTAATGGGCATGGATTTGGTGTCACTACGAATTGACACCCATTTTCGATCCATTTAAGTCGGCAGTAGTCGCCATTTCACTCCCCAGTTATGGTAGTTTCCTCACAATTTAAGGCATTTATGGTAGTGTCATTTTTGTTTCCTTTTTCCTCTTGGATGACAAAATATGCTTATTTGCCTTCAATTTTCTGAACACTACCCCCATGCATATATATATATTTTTACGTGAACTTTTAAATATATATAGCTTCATATTTCATTCAACATCACACATCATACACATATATTTCTTACACACAAAAGAAAACACCATAATATAAACAGACATACAAGGTCCAAACCCAACCCAGCAACACTGGTTGCGAACCTTCCAAAAACTGCGTCACACCTAACCTCCGCACATACAAAAGGACACCCACCCCCTCCAAAACATTCCTTTACAACCACGCAGAAAGGGTCATCCGAAATCCTTCATTGTTCCTCAAGTTCCATCGTCACTTGTGGCATCAGAAGAGTTTAGAACTTCGACAACCATGTCGTCGTCAGAGTCAGCGTTCCACTGCTCTTCAAGTCTTATCAGGCGCCGTTCCACCCTCATCACCAACCTCCAGAGGCGAGTGAGGTCAGTCCCATAATTGTCAATTCGCATGATCAGGTCTTGCAACGTAGGTGGAGGATCTGGACCAATGGGTACTTGACGAACAGAGAAAGGACTGAAAATGGGGTAATTAGGCTTCGGTCTGCTTGGTCTGTGGTTTGGTAGTGCACCATTGCTGCTTGACCTAGACGAAGACATGATGTTCGTGGGTGCTTGAAACACTACTCAGTACTTTGTATATTTATAGCACAACTCGTACCACTGTGGGTGGGACTGGTGGTTGAACCGATTTATGTTTATAAGCCAATCCGTGCATAAATATTCAACTACCCCAATTCTTGGGATTGATAATACAAATTAAATTGATTTTATGTTAGTAGTAGCTGAGAATTTATGTACGTATTTCTTAAATTTTGTCAGGTAACTATTGGGATGTTGTGTACAATACATATGTATAAGTTCAAGCAGAATGAAGTAGTTTGTTTGTCTCATATCCTAAATATATAGCCTTTATTTTATATTTCAATTTATATGACTTTCTTGACGATTATAATTTTGGACATATTCTTTTGAATTGATATAGGTTGTAGAGGTTTATGAACTTATATGTATGAACTTATATCCTTACCTTTCATTTACCAAAAAAATTCAACACAGAGGAGGCCGATATTTTAGAATACCTCTTTTTAGATGATTCATTTTTTTGATCCATGTAAGTGAAACAATGTAGTAATGTTCTATACACATTAGTTTATTTTTGTCTTACCTTGTAATGTTTTGTACAAAAAAACATAACAAATAAAAACAAAAAAAGAGGTAATTTAGAATACCTCTTTCCCTACAATTATGACGGCTTTAATGATAGAGATTTTGGAGTGACTGTGAATTGACACCCATTTCCTATCAATTTATAAACCAAATTGTCAGCATTTAACACCCCATTTATGGTAGTTTAGTCAAAATTTATTACATCATACATATTTGAATTTTTCTTTCCTTTTTCCTCATCACTTGTCTAATATTATTCTTATTCATCATTTTTTTTCACACTGCCCCCATGCATATATATAGTAACGTGAATTTATACATATATATGGCTTCATATTAATCGCTTCATATACTAATGTTCACACTGCATATATATGGCTTCATATATCATTTCATATCATACATCATACACATAATTATTACACAATAAAAAAAAAAAAAAAACATACAAAAAAACACCATCATATATACATACATAGAAGGTCCAAACCCAACACAGCAAAACAGAGAACCTTCCTAATACTACTTCACACCAAACTTCCGCACATCAGTACGGGGTCCTTCACAACCAACCGCCTCCAAAACAGCCGTCCTTCCTCATAGTCCATCGTCGTTTGTGGCGTCAGAGGAGTTCAGAACTTCCATGACCTGGTCGTCAAATTCTTCATTCCACAGCACTTCAACCCTCTTAATGTGCCGATCCACCCTCTTCACCATACTCCACAGGCGAGTCAGGTCATTCCCGAAATTATCCATGCGCATAATAAGGTTTTACAGGGTAGGGGGAGGATCTGCAACAGAGGGTGCTTGACGTAGAGACATGGGACTAAAGGTTGGGTAATTGGAGCTAGCTGTACGTCTTCTATGGTTTGGTAGCGCACCATTGGTTGGCCTAGAGGAAGACATTTTCTTGTGGGTGCTTCTATCCAAGCCTCATGACATATATTTATAGCAGAAGTGGTGGTGTTGTGGGTGGGAGTGGTTGTTGAAGGCATTTGTGATTCTAATCCATAGTTCAATTAATATTCAACTACCCTACACATTTATTATTCTGTTGAGATTCTATTTACATATTATATTCATTTTATGTACGTATATGTTGTGATTTTATGTACAATTGATATTGGGATTTTCTATACGTATTTATTACGATTTAATGTACGAATTTCTTGAGGTGTTATGTACGTACGTTTGTGGATGTTTGATTGGTTCATTTTTTTTCCTTCAAGTAACATGGTGAAACTTGTGCAACGGTGAGGGACTAGGATCACCTCCAGTTACACAGTAATCCATTTTCTCCATTTTTGTAAGTAAAAGTGCACCCAACATTTTTGTAAGGTGCATCCCGACATTTTCTTACTATGTATCCCAACATCTTCCTACTATGTGTCTCAAATATGGGTAACATGGCCATTTCTGGACCACTCATTTCAAAATGGAGTAAATGGCACACTATTTCACTGGAGGTGATTTTCACCCCAATGGTAAGTGTTACAATTGGAGTGAATTTTTGTACAATAATGTGCTATTGTCCACTTACAATTGACGACATAAATGATTCAACATGTGTTTCATCCATGTAGGTAAAACAATGTAGGAACGTTTTCTGCATATTACTTTATTTTTATCCTACCTTGTAATGTTTTGTAGTTAGGGCAATTTTTTTAAAAAAAGATGAAAAATAAGGTATTTTAGAATATCTCTTATTATACAGAACTCGAACCCAGGACAAAGGGTCAACATTTGCCAACACCTAAGCCAAGAGCCCATTGTTAGTCTTAATGTTTGATTGGTAAATTTTTTAAGCTTTCAGTAGCTTGAGTTACATTAATATTTCTAATCCATGAATTAATATTCAACTACCCCCACTACATATTTATTATTATGTTGGGATTATATTTGCATATTATATTGATTGATGTATTTGATTCATGTAGGTAAAACAATGTAGGAATGTTTTGTACATATTACTTTATTGTTGTCCAACAGTCCCTCAAAAAAACCTACTTACATGAAAAACAAGGTATTTTACAATACCTCTTTTTCGACATTGCCACTCATTCATACTGATACTCGAACCCAGAACAAAGGGTCAACATTTGCCAACGCCTAAGCCAAAAGTCCATTGTTAGTCTCAGTGTTCCATTGTTACTTGTTTTTTTCTACTTTAAGTAGCTTGGGTTACATTTATATTTCTGAACAAACAGTCTATCCAATTTGACAGTGATTCTCTTATGTCTTTCTTGCTTCCAAACATGGATGAACCCAAAATAAGACATACATTTTGTAATGTTCGAACAGTGGATTTACAAAATACGGTGATACTCAACATGTGGAACATGTTACAAGCATGCACACAATGAATACAATGTCAATTACATTACAGCTAAAGGTAACAAGGGCAGCCGAAGTAGGCCATAAACTTTGTACAAGATGTCCAAAAGATTACAAGGATACACACAATCAATGATAAGTCAATTGCATCACAAGTTTCTTCTCAATATTGAAAGAGTCGATGTTGAATTGGATGATTCATCCCCAACGTTGCCATTCCAGATGTTGGCGTCACATGTGCTTGCCCATGTTTCTACAATTAACCACGATGACAACAAATGTAATCCAAATAATTTTTGTATACAGTTTTCTGTCACCACATTTATAATGAGAACAATGACAAAAACATTAATGGAGAAGGAATAAATGATTACCTCATCACCTCCCAAACGATGAGCACTTGATTCATCATATGAAGAGGGCATACTGTACAGTTCAGATGACAGCATGGCTGGATCGCCAATATCAGCCTGAAATTTATATTGTTGACAATACATATTAAGATGAACGGAGGCCTTAGGCAACCCCCATAATTCACTGCTACATGATTTTAACCACACCATTGATCAGCTTTGTTTATCTGATATTCCAGTGGATCATGGATAATTTACTTAGGGTACTAAAAGGTTTAATTAGACGAGAGTTTATGCAACGCTGGATCAAGGTCTTATGAACTAGGATTGGGATAATGTATTTCCAAGTTCACATATTATTCTTACTCCATAACATTCATTTCAGATCATAGGGGACTTAAACTGAACATTCCTTTGCACATTGGTGAAGGTCCAAAGCCTTTCGGATTTTTCTTGGTTTAGAATACACAGGCAGTAGTTCGCAGCATAATCTCTGATTTATAGTCATGGGTGGGAATCCAATCCAGAAGCTACTGTACTATTTTACATTGGTTAAAAGGGCTATAAAAATTTGGAATTTTTGTAAAGTTTGAGTCTGTTTTATTTTAGGTTATTGGTATTAGGAAGTCTCTTGAGTAAGTGCAATTGAGGTTAGCCGAGAATCTTATGAATGATGTTTTCATTGACGAGTAGGATATTAGACAGCAATTTGAATGTGCTAGCCCTAATGAAGCAATTCTTCTGTCTCACAAGACAAGAATTAGATGGATGAAGGACCAGGACAGGTGCAGAAGGTTTTTGTATCAGTAAATTAAAGAGCATACGGCTAGAACCAATATCACTGTCATTCAGGATGCGGCAGGGAATTTTATACATGATTATGAGCATATGAACTTCATTTTGGGGCATGATGAAGATATTATGTAGATACAAGAAATTTAAAACGGATAAAGCTTGCTGCTTCTACAGAAGAAGGTGGTTTGGGGGTGACAACAGGTTTGGATATTGATTTACCTGAAAACTGTGTATTAGCTTCGGATTATTTACTGTCCAAAGATAGGATTTCGGTGGTTAGGTATAAACATTGTTCATGTTACCTAAGAAATACATCCTTTTGGCAAGTCATGCCAAAGGTTTCAGATTCTTCTATATGGAAGAGTATAGTTGCCATTAGGGGGACTCCATGAAGATCAACTATAAGTATGTTATTGGAAAAAGGAATTGACATCAACATTTTTCTTCATCCTTGGTGTGATGGTAAAATGATGTCAATTTTTTCTCCCACATACAGTTTTCGATCAAGAGTTTTGGGGATTTTATTGCTGCAGGTCAACGGAAAATGGATAATATTCCAACTGATCTACATCAGTGTTTTGCATTAGGTTTTAGTGTGACTTTTTCTGATGTTGCCTAGTCTGGGCAGAGTTTGGTGTGGGATATGTCCCATGTGACCTTTGTAATATATTGTTTAGATGTAAACAAAATTTTGTCCATTTTAGAAAAACAAAGAAAATAATGCATCTTAATTAGTCAAAGTACTTACATGGTTAGTTGATGAAGTACATAGTTCACAAATATTAAGCTGTCTGTTGTGGAATACAGCTGGTGGTGTTACATAAGATTCTTCATTGAGAAATTCGACAAGAATTTCTGCACCCTAAAATATTTCATATAAACACTGTCAATGCACTTTTCAACATCATCAACATGTTAACCAACAATCATGAATGAATAGTAACTGCTTATATATAATATACTTGGAATAATACTCACATTCACTAACACGTAGGACGAGGTTAACGGACTATCGCTACCACCGGCGTCCCCCAAAACAACGGTTTCATTTGATATCTAAAACAAACAAAATGTTAGTTTCTTCCACTCACGAGTGTTTTATGACGAAGGATATAATGTTATGAACTTGAATTTATTTTGTTCGCATGTTCAAATAGTTAAACAATGAAATATCAGTATGTGCGATAGTAACGTATACGTGGCCTGTTGCTTTCGTTAACTTCCTCCTTTTCCCACTATTTAACTCTATGGCTGGTTTCAGCCTCTTAAATCGTCCTTTAGAGGTATCTTTAACTTTCATGGACATGGGAACTGTTCCACTATTGCTTTTCACCCTTTTTTTTTCCATTACCCTTTGCAATTTTCTCTGCAAACCTACAACCACAGGTTATTTGTACTGTTCTTTTCCAGTCTAATGTTTTTTCTAATAGATCATTATATCCTTCGAGGTCGTGCGATGCAATGGAAGATATTTCAGTCAGTATACGGCAAAGCTACCTATGCCGTCGCCTAATCTCAAGTTGAGGATCCGGATTCACGTCAGTGGAAACAATTTCCTCCAACCTGTCATCTCTAGCATTTCTAGTCCACCTTTTTATTATATATCGCGAAGACAACTTATTCACAAATATGCAGTCTTTAAGGATTTTCAGACTGTGCCTGCACAAAATCCCTCTATTTCAAATTTACAACATGAGCATGACAATTCATTTTCAAATGTCCAGCTCACACGATGTCGCACCCCGTCCTCACCAGCAACTTTATAAACACGGTGTCCATTGTTATCCAAGTTAGTGCAACTAATAACAGCCTGACTCGCAAGAGCAGCTAAAAACTCCTCCTGGAAAAGCTGAAATATTGCCTTGGTGTAAACCTTCCCCGCTTGACGTAATATGTGGCACTTTGTTTTTAGTTCCGGTTGCCTCTCCACCAAGCCATACTCGGCTTCATACTCCTTGTACCGCTTGTCGGACAACAATCTGTCAAAGTGTGTGAAGAATTCTGGTAGAATAAGTTGTCTGGAAAGGTAATACTTCAATTGACCATTAAAGCTTTTACTCAATTGCATGCTACTCATTCCTGCAGACCAATCGTGTTTGACAAATGCCAGGGCCCATTTATGTCTCAAATCTAACAAAGTGGAAAGCCACTTATTACCAGCAACACCATACTCTGCAATCATTAAATCCCATTCCCTGATAAAATCATCCTCCTCCTCAATTTGGAACATTAATTTTGAGATAACCTTCTTTATTCCTTCAACGCATTTAAACAGAAACAGTAGGTTCTTTTGCGCATTATTCATTAAGTGCCAAACATATAAATGATGTTTCGTCACCGGCATGACCTGCACGATTAATTAACTTAATACCCGTGTTGCAAACATGCAAATCCAAAAAAATACAACCGACTGAAATAATACAATTGTTTCAGCATGACACAATACAAGAATGGAGATGCATGATAGTTATTCACCTGCTTTAATGCCTTCGCCATTGCAGCGTCTTGATCTGTAATAATTGTCTTTGGCGCTTTTCCACCCATCGCTTTCAAGAACATTTCAAATAACCAGACAAACGAATCCACTATCTCATCATACATTAAGGCTGCTCCAAACATAGCAGTCTCCTGGTGATGATTCATACCCAAGAAAATTGCAAATGGTCTGTTGCCGTGTACCACTTTGTACGTTGTGTCGAAACTGATAACATCTCCAAACTGGCCATAATCAATAATCATTTTACAATCTGACCAGAATATGTTCGTATTCATTTGCTCAGTATCCAGTTGCAAGGAATAGAAGAACGAAGGATCTTCACAACCACGCATCTCAAAATAATCCACAAGCCATGCCGCCTCTCCATAAAGAAGTTCATTTTGTCTTTGCGTCCTTAGATAATTTTTAAGATCCATTTTCAAGTATCCAACTGATTCTTTGCCACCAGACTGCCTTCCCATCAACTCATATGCATTACAAACCGAAACTCCTAAATCCAAAGCCAACTCAACATCAATGGCCTGGACTGAGGAAATTCGTCGCTGGGACGGCATCATGTGGCTGTATTCTGCAATTATGAATGAATGGTTGTGACTTTCTACAAATTTAGAAACTACGTACTTTGCCTCTGTCTTGTCATATATAATAACCATTCATGCACCGCAATTGGTTAGTGTTTCAGCCCGGGGAGTCTTTCTAAATACATCCCGTTTGTCAGTCCCCTTCACACCTTCCTCGCTACAAATAAACGCCCTCGATGTAATTCTTCCATTAACTATATTGCCATACTCCTTCCGGATGCTAAAACCAATTCGACCACCATATGCATTGTAAAAATCATATGCCTTTTCCTCACTATCAAACTCCATTTTATACCTTGGTTTCCATTTCATCACTTCGGTTTTATAACAGCAACATTTCGTCTGTTTGTTGTGTTTTAAATATTATTTACTTCACCTTCCATCTGAACGACTCAAATACAAAACCTTTTCTCACATATGCACAAAATATTGAATTAACAAAAAATAATTTTACTTCTACATCCCAAGTATGTTCCATCTCAATGTCTCAAATACAAAACATTTTCACATGTATGACCAATCAAATAAAAAACCTTTTCACATGTATGAGAAATTAAATTTGACATATATATATCTCATTCATTTCATTTCTTTGCATGTATCAATCAAGTATATCCCAGACAAACAACGATAAAAATCCTCGTTGGCACAACAGAACATATATGTCCAACCAACTAATGCTAATTTCACATACACTTTCTGAACATGTTGGGATTAATATTACGCAAAATTTGGGATTTACGTTACCAAACAGTTGGGATTCACCTTACGAAATAGTTAGGACTCACCTTAGGAAAAATTTGGGATGTACCTTTCAAGAAGTTGGGATATAATTTACGAAACCTTTGGGATTCACATTAGGAAAATTTTGGGATTCACATTAGGAAAATGTTTGGATATATTACACAAATACTTTGGGATTTAAATTACGAAAATTTTAGTATGTAAGCTAGGAAAATGTTGTGACTTACTTTACAAAAATATTAGAATGTAGATAAGGAAGAATTTGGGATGCTTTTTAGGAGAAATTTCGGATCCAACTTAGGAAAATGTTGCGATGTAAGCCCAATGACCAAACATTTTCTTCACATTGTAACATTCACACTCTGAAACACTCTTTTCCAGCCAGTCATGTACCCTAAAAATCCTCTCATTTTTTATCCTCACAAATAAACATTCAAACCCCTCATAACTGCACAATAAAATAGCGATCAATTCAAATTCACCAATAATTTTCTATTTCTGGGTTTTGGGATGTACACTAAGAAAATATTGTGACTCACTTTACAAAATTATTGGAATGTAAATAAGGAAGAGTTTAGGATGCTTATAAGGAGAAAGTTGGGATGCACTAAGAAAAATGTTGCGATGTAACCCCAACGACCAAACATTTTCTTAACATTGTTACACTCACACTCTGAAACATTCTTTTCCAGCCAGTCATGTATCCTACAAAGCCTCTCATTTTTTATCCTCACAAATAAATATGGAAACCCCTAATAACTGAACAATAAAATAGCGATCAATTAAATTCACCAATAATTTTCTATTTCTGGGTTTCTTACCAAAATTGTGTTTATATATATTTGTTTCTGCCATTCAGTTCATATGGAAATCAGATGATTTCCTAAAAAAGTCAAATCTCAAAATTATGAATCATACCTGATTAGAGTTGGAAACAAGGCGATTTCCTGCTTCGATTTGGAAATGCATTCCCGCTTAGCTTTGGAAATACACTGCTGCTTCATTTTGGAAGGAAATCAAAATCTGCAATTTCATTGCGACTGACAGAACCGCGGCTTCTATTTGGAAATAATTTGTAAAATCCAAATTTTGGGTTGATTCACACAACAATCGCTGCTTCTGGATTCTATTTGGAAAGAAATAAATTTCTAAAATGCCTTCATTCATATTGTGGGAGAGACGAAAGCTCAGGCGGGATTTTATTTCTATTTCAAATGTCGCCTAAAATGAGGGAGGGAGGAGGAAGAAGAAATAAGGGAGGGAACACAAAATGGGTATTCTACAACAGTATGTACACATATATATATATACACCAAAATTCTGTATTCTAAAAATATATTTTTTACCCAAATATAGTTAACACTATTCATTGACCCAAATGGAGGAAATGGGACACTGATACAGAGAGGTGATCCTGGTCCAAACACGTGTGTGTGTGTGCTGCGCGCGTCCGCGTTCGTGTGCACGTGTAGGTGCGTGGATATACACATCATTATCATCATCATCATCACGATGCTCTCTCTGTATCAGTCTCACATCTATTCCCACTTTCTCTTTATTCATTTTCTCTTTCTATATCACCACCACCTTTTCTTCACAACTCTGCCACTCCAACCTCCCACCACCATTACCACCACCCACCACCATCACTGTCACCCACTACCCACCATTAGAACCTAACATCTAATGAGCCCATCTCAACAACGGTTGTAGAGAGAGAAAGAGCAACACTCAACTATTTTTTCTTCTTTCTAACCAAAATCAATGACTTTGTAAACCTTCAAGATTCATTAATTAATTTCCACCAACCCCCAAATCAAACCCCTCTACCTTATTTTCTCTCTCCTCCTCATCACATTTGTAAGTACCTGTCATTCGAGAAGCTGACCACCATGAACGTGGATCCCACCATGAACGGTTTGATGGTGATTGGCTACAAGAGCCAAACCGATCACATTCACATCTATTTATGGGTTTGTTGAAGATGTAGTGAATAAATTATAAATGGGTGAATCTGTTTCATGAACGAATTAGAAGGTTTGGTTCATCAGTTTAAACATGGTTCATTGTTTCTTGGTGGCAAAGATACGACAAAGTACACAGTTAGAGAAAGAGATGATGAGGAGAAAACTAAAATCAATTACTTTTGGGAAGTAGCACATGATGAGATTAGGACCTTATGCAATAAAAGTGAATATAGTGAGATAAATGATATACAAATATATATTTTTTCAAATGGGAGTGAGATAAAAGTTGCACACGATGAGTTAATACCAGGACCTTATAAGACAAAAGAGTAATATAGTGAAATAAAAGTTATACAAATATATTTATTTCAAATAAGAGTGAGATCAAAGTTGCACATTCTGAGATAGTAGCAGGACCTCACGGGATAAAAGATGAACATAGTCAGATATAAGTTATACAAGTCAAGATTTTTATTTTTTTTGCACTGGTGCAAATTTAGTATTTCTTAATGATGGCATTCAGAATTATTTGGCAGCAGAAATAGTGCACCGATGTTACATTTTTTTGTACTAGTCCAACTTGATTTTGTAGGTTGTTGGTGAATTAAAAGTTGCACACACTGAAATAACAGTACAAAATTTGGGGATAAATGTTGAAACAGTGCAGTAAAATTTGTACATATATATTTTTCGTCTTTCATACATTGAGAGTAGAAGGATTCATTTTCTCCGGCGACCATCTCTCTGTGTGTATACATATATACACACGCGCATACACATTTATGTATATAAATACTAACACCGACCAGAACCCACCCATTATCTCTACTCCACTTTCTCTGTACTGATTTTAGCTCACTGGTTGTGACTTTGAAACCTCAGAGGTGGGCCTTGACAGCTTGGAGCTCCCAGTTGGGTCAATCGAGGTTCACCGGAAATGGGTGGGAAGAGCTAGTTGTTGGGTCTGTCTTCACTGGAGCAGAAGGATTTGGCCAATTAATAGAGTATGGGAGAAAAAAGATTAAGAAATTATTGGATTATTTTATTAGATAAGATGTGGTGGTTGCCGGAGATGGGTTCCACGGGTCATCAGGATGTCTTGCCGATAGGTGGTGGTCGAGGGTGGTGGTGGATTTTTTTTTTCCCTTTATACATTTTGATAGCCCCTAATAAGAATAATTGGTAATTACAATGGTGGTGGGTAGCGATGATGGTAGTGGGTGGTTGGAGTGATATAGAGAGAGAAAGTGGTGGTGATATGATTATATGGAGAAGACAATGAATAGATAGAAATAGTATATTTATATGAAGAGGGCATTTGGACCAAAATGGAGGGTATATGTGTAAATGACTCAAAAGTGATTAAGCGCAGTTTGGATTAAAATAGTAGAATTCCTTGTTTGGTAATTACTTTAATTTAGTGACTCTTTCTGTTGGGATTTGTATGCCCTGGCATAACGAATTTCTATTTGCATTAAAGTGACATATCTTCGTAACATATTTGAAATATTTATACTTTATACAATTAATGAATTCAATGTATTATGTTTCAATTCATTATAGAATTGACAATGTCCACTTGATTAAGAGATATTTATATGTATGTGATTACGATCAATACATGAACATAAATAGTAATCATAAATAATTCATAGTTGGTAATTATGGATGGGCTCATTATTAACTAAGACTTGAACCGAATCTGCTTTAAGTTGAGATATATTGCAAGAATTATCGTATGCAATTACTCCCTATCACTGTCATGGCATTTGACTCTTAAGCATGAGCGAAGTATAGACTCTTTATTAATTAGTAATTACTTTAATTTGTTCGGCGGATTCTTCGGAATCCATGGAACGGCATTTTGAGTAATTTTGTAATTAATAGTTAGAGAGTTAGAATTTCAATATTTGCATCATTGCTACTTGTATTTATTTTTAATTGATTATGATTTATTACAAAGTATATTCGAAGACTTTCGCGTATTTTAGACAAAATAATTTTCTATATATTTTTTTATTTAGATTATTATTTTTGTCAAACAAATGTTTTATTGTGATCAAGCCGGAAATAATCATAGGTACCAAAATAAATATATTAATTTAGTAGTCGGATTGATAGCTTTATTTATTTGATAACTAATTATGCATAGCAAAGTCAAAATGCAACATTAACTTAGAGGTTATTTATTATTTAATTGGAGTTCAATTAATTTATTTTAGTGGAGTAGAAATTAATTTATAAATTAATTGAATTGGGTCTATGGTATAATGGACTAGGCAATTCTTTATTTATTGTAACCAAGAAAATAATAAGCCCACAGGATTCTCACTCATATCCCAACTTGATATTGAAGGCCCATTAGATTTGAGTAATCACATGAATTTTAGGGATTGAGAAAAATATATTGTCTTCAATTATTATTTTTATTTTTCCTATATATACATGGGGTCCATGTATATTTTAGGTTACGCCTTTATGCATTAATTTTTGGAAGACAAGAAAAGATTTTTCTCTCTCTAAGATTTTAGGGTTAGTGTTCTCATCTCATGAAGGCTCCCACAAGCTAAGATCTCC